CCATTGACTGCAAACAAGATTTGTTAATTTGCACACACAAAAAAAAGTATTTTTCCTAACAAATTAATTTAAGTCCACATTGCGAAAATGAATACACCCCAATGAAAGTCTTAGGAGCAAAGCTAAATTTTAGACAGCAAGATCCTAATGAACAGGAATTCAACTACAGGGTGAGTCTAATTATTCATTAAACAGGTGTCCAGCAGACAGTTGATTATAAAAGGGAGTTACTTAACCCCTTGACGCCGACGTAACACAAATATGCGGCCTCACGGACTTGGGCTTTTATCCGTGGGGCCGCATATTTGCGTACCTGTCTTTGTGTTGGGAGCGCGCCCCTCAGCGCGCTCCCAGCACCGAGACCGCGGTGTCACTGAGAGCACCGGGTCCCGTTCTAACGATCGGGACCCGGGACTCCCGGTCCCGGGTCACATGATCGCTGTGATAGCCTCTGATTGGCTATCACAGTGATCAGTCACTGTGCAGCCCGGCCCCCTTGTTTTTTTTCTCTCTCTCTCTATGTATGGAGAAGAGAGATACATTGTATCTCTCGAACTCCTGTCAGAGAGAAGAAAAAAAAAGTTTGTAAAAAAAAAAAAACCGATACATAAATAAATATTAAAAAAATAAAATAAAAAAAAATACCTAGATCAAGGTTTGATCTAGTTCAGTGCCAGGGTTAGTGTTTAGGTCAGGGTCAAGGTCAAAGGTCAGGTCAAAGGTCAAGGTCAGGATTTAAAAAAAAAAATTGGTATCAGTGTCAGTTAGTGTTAATGTCAGTGTCAGTTAGTGTTAGTGTGTTTTAGGTAAAAAAAAAAAAAAGACAAAAACAAAATGCGCACTATGGTTTCTGGGCTGTACTACGGGTACAAACAACAAATAACATACACATATATGGTATCGCTGCGATCGTCAAGAGCTGGAGAATTTATTTTGGGTTGCTCTTTGGTGGTAGGTTATGGTCATAACAAGAAACACATAGCTAAATAAAAAAAAGGATTTTTTTTACTATTTTTGGCCAGTTTTCCTTTGATAAAAAAAAAAATCAGGAGATATCCATTACCATTTACCATCAAATGAAAGGCCAATTTGTCCTGAAAAAATCAAGGTATAATCCACCTGGATGTGCAAAGTAGTTGTGATGATATGTACGGTTTTGCTATCACATGTCAACGGTGCAGAATTGTGCTTAGGCCTCTAGATTTGTTTTACCCTTAGGCGTGAAGGGGTTAACAAAGAAAACTCCTCCCATTTCATGCTGTCAGCAATGGCAACACATGGAAGAGAAATGTCACAAGGCCTGAGAAAGAAAATAATTTCTTTCCACAAGAAAGGTGAAGCCTACAAGAAGATCAGCAAAGCTTTGCTTATCAAGCAGAATATTGTAGCAAAAGCAATACAAACATTTAACAAAGATGGAACTGCAACCATTTCACAGAGATGTCCAGGCCGTCCATGGAAATTGACACCTCAACAGGAGCATCTTCTGATGAGAAGGGTTAAAGAAAATCGCCATGCAAGTTCACTGCAGTTAGCTAAAGAAGTAGAAAGCCAAACTGTGGTGATTGTTTCCCGTGATCCCAATACAGCGTACACTGCAGAGGAATGGCATGCATGGGTGTTGTCGACGAAGGAAGACTCCCTTAAAGCCCATGCACAAAAAAGCCCACCTAGAATTTGCCAGGGCCCATGCTGAAAAACAAGAAGACTACTGGGACCAAGATAAATGGCTTTGGAACTGATGGCTTCAAAACTGTATGGCATCGCAAAGGTGAGACATAAAAAGAAACAAGCATGGTGCCTACAGTGAAACATGGTGGTGGCAGTGTCCTTCTGTGGGGCTGCATGAGTGCTCCTGGTGTCGGGGTGTTGCATTTCATTGATGGTATCATGAATTCACAAATGTACTGCTCTATATTGAAAGAGAAGATGCTAACATCACTCCGTGCCCTTGGTCGTCGTGCACTTTTCCAACATAACAATGATCCAAAACACACATCTAAGGCCACTGCTGCATTTCCGAAGAACAGGGTGAAAGTGATTCAGTGGCCAAGTATGTCTCCGGATCTGAACCCAATCGAACACCTATGGGGAATTCTGAAGAGACACGTTGAGCATTACTCTCCCTCCAACATCCAGGCTCTAAAAGAGTTAGTTCTTGAAGAATGGAAAAAGATCGATGTTGCAACGTTGCCAACTTGTCCATTCCATGCCTACAAGACTTGATGCTGTCCTTACAAATCATGGAGGCAATACAAAATACTAGATGCGCTAGTTTTTTATTGTGGGGTGTATTCATTTTTGCATCAACTAATTCAAGTAAAACTGAAGATTTTGTAATCTGAGTTAACCTACCTTTCATGTAATGAGCTAAACCAGGGGTGGGCAAACTTTTTGACTTGAGGGCTGCAATGGGTTCATATATTGGACCCGGGGGCCGGACCAAGAGTAGATGAATGATGTGTATGTGTCATCCATAGTAAGCATAGTAATATTCCCCCATAGTAAGCATAGTAATTAATCCCCCATATAGTAATTCATCCCCCATATAGTAATTCATCCCCATATAGTAATTCATCCCCCATAGTAATTCATCCCCCATATAGTAATTCATCCCTCATAGTAATTCATCCCCCATATAGTAATTCATCCCCCATATAGTAATTCACCCCCCATAGTAATTCATCCCCCATATAGTAATTCATCCCCCATATAGTAATTCATCCCCCCTATAGTAATTAATTCCCCATATTAATTCATCCCCCATATTAAGTCCCCCCTGTGTCAATTCACTTGCCTTTGCTCCGCGCGTTCCTCTCGCCGTTCCGGTGTAGCATGAAAATCTGTCTCCTATGAGGATCTGTCCCCCTCGATGTATCTGCGCATGTGCCAGTTTCAGGCATTAGCAGCCGATCGGCGATCTCCGGCACATGCGCAGATACGTCGAGGGGGACAGATCCTCATAGGAGACAGATTTTCATGCTACACTGGAACGGCTCGGGAACAAGAGGAACAAGAGGAACGCGCGGAGCAAAGGTAAGTGAATTGACACGGGGGACTTGGGGACTTAATATGGGGGATGAATTAATAGGGGGATGAATTACTATATGGGGGATGAATTACTATAGGGGGGATGAATTACTATGGGGGATGAATTACTATGGGGGATGAATTACTATGGGGAATTAATTACTATATGGGGGATGAATTACTATATGGGGGATGAATTACTATATGGGGGATGAATTACTATAGGGGGGATGAATTACTATATTGGGGATTAATTACTATATGGGGGATTAATTACTATGGGGGATGAATTACTATGGGGGATGAATTACTATATGGGGGATGAATTACTATAGGGGGATGAATTACTATGGGGGATTAATTACTATATGGGGGATGGATTAATTACTATAGGGGGGATGAATTACTATATGGGGGATGAATTACTATGGGGGATGAATTACTATATGGGGGATGAATTACTATATGGGGGATTAATTACTATATGGGGGATGGGGGATTAATTACTATGGGGATTAATTGCTAAATTACTATAGGGGGGATGAATTACCATAGGGGGGATGAATTACTATGGGGGATGAATTACTATATGGGGGATGAATTACTATGGGGGATTAATTACTAGGGGGGATGAATTACTATGGGGGATGAATTACTATATGGGGGATTAATTACTATGGGGGATGAATTACTATGGGGATGAATTGCTATATGGGGGATGAATTACTATGGATGAATTACTATATGGGGATTACTATATGGGGGATAATTACTATATGGGGGATGAATTACTATGGGGGATGAATTACTATATGGGGGAATGAATTACTATATGGGGGATGAATTACTATGGGGGATGAATTACTATGGGGGATGAATTGCTATATGGGGGATGAATTACTATATGGGGGACGAATTACTATATGGGGGACAAATTACTATATGGGGGACAAATTACTATATGGGGGATGAATTACTATGGGGGATGAATTACTATATGGGGGATGAATTACTATATGGGGGATTAATTACTATGCTTACTATGGGGGAATATTACTATACTTACTATGGATGACACATACACATCATTCATCTACTCTTGGTCCGGCCCCCGGGTTCAATATATGAACCCATTGCGGCCCTCAAGTCAAAAAGTTTGCCCACCCACCGGTCTTCAGGGCGGACTGTGAGAGGAGCCTAGCTCCCCTCGCGTTCGTCACGCTGCCCCGCCTACACACATCCTGACAGCCATCCTGACAGTATCACGCTCCGCGGGCCGGATTAAAAGGTCCGCCGGGCCGTAGTTTGCCCATTGCTGAGCTAAACAAATGTTCTACAAAACTCAGTTTTGTAAAAATTTTGGAAATTGTTCTTGTGTTTATTGAGATATTCTTGTGTTCATTGAGATATTAATTAAAATCTTACTTTTCAAAAGGGGTGTACTCATTTATGCTGAGCACGGTATCTATCTATCTATCTATCTATCTACACACTATATTGCTAAAAGTATTCAGATGCCTGCTTTTACACGCACATGAACTTTAATGGCATCCCAGTCTTAGTCCATAGGATTCAATATTGAGTTGGCCCACCCTTTGCAGCTATAACAGCTTCAACTCTTCTGGAAAGACTGTCCACAAGGTTTAGGAGTGTGTCTATGGCACGCAGTCATGTTGGAACAGGAAGGGGCCATCCTTAAACTGTTCCCACAAAGTTGAGAGCATGAAATTGTCCAAAATGTCTTGGTATGCTGACACCTTAAGAGTTCCCTTCACTTAAACTAAGGAACCAAGACCAACCCCTGGAAAACAACCCCACACCATAATCCCCCATCCACCAAACTTTACACTTGGCACAAGGCAGTCAGGCAAGTACCATTCTCCTGGCAACTGCCAAACCCAGACACGTCCATCAGATTGCCAGACAGAAAAGCATGATTCGTCACTCCAGAGAACACATCTCCACTGCTCTAGAGTCCAGTGACGGCATGCTTTACACCACTGCATCCAACGCTCTGCATTGCACTTGGTGATATAAGGCTTGGATGCAGCTGCTCGGCCATGGAAACCCATTCCACGAAGCTCTCTATGCACTGTTATTGTGCTAATCTGAAGGCCACATGAAGTTTGGAGGTCTTTAGCTATTGACTCTGCAGACAGTTGGTGACTTCTGCGCACTGTGCGCTTCAGCATGCACTGACCCGTTCTGTCATTTTACGTGGCCTACCACTTCATGGCTGAGTTGCTGTTCCCAGTTGCTTCCACTTTGTTATAATACCACTAACAGTTGACCGTGGAATATTTAGTAGCAAGGAAATTACACGGATTGACTTATTGCACAGGTGGCAACCTATCACGGTACCACACTTGTACGCTTGTAGTGTATATTGAATTCATAAAGTGTTCAGATCCCCTTCACCGGAATTTTAGAAATGTCTGTGAATTTATTAAAAAGAAAAAACTGAATATCACATGTACTTAAAATGACTGTCAGCCCTGGTTCACACCAGAGTTTTCTGTGCGAATTCCAGACCGCATCAGAATCGCACCCCGTTCATGCAAACTGCTCCGGGTGTGTATGTTAAGTTAACAATACCCCGAAAGTGGTCCGCAAAATGCGGTGCAATGTGCAGAATCGGATTGCATAGGTGTGAATACCCATGTGATCCGATTCTAGTGCGGACCCAAAAAAGGGTCCTGCACCTTTTTGGTGCGGGTGCGTCATGATTAGAGCCATACAAAATGTATGGCTCCAATCGCATTGCACACAAATCGCATGTGATTTGCACAGGAATGCCGCACCACATATATGTGAACCCAGGCTGGTGTGCAGCAGCCCCTCTCAATACTTACCTGAGCCCCCTCTGGATCCAGCGATGTGCACAAGAGCAGCAGCTCTCCTAGGACTTGTCTTCCTTGTTGGCTGAGACAAAGCAGCGGGAGCTATTGGCTCCTGCTACTGTAATTAACAGCTAGTAAGCCAATGAAGAGAGAGTGGGTGTGGGGCGGAGCCATGCTCTGTATGTTAATAGACATTGCAGAGCACTCGGCAGAGGGCCAGGAGCTCCTGCTAGTGACCCGAGAAGAGGAGGATTGGTCTGCTCTGTACAAAACCACTGCACAGAGCATGTAAGTATTACATGGCTGTTATTAATAAAAAAAAAATGAACCTTTAATATCACTTTAATGCACCAAAAAGGTGTGAATGTGGCCATAAGGTTACAAGAAGAGAATAAACTGCATAATACACAGAACATAAAATCGCAGTGAAAGCTCACGTTTTTTTTTTTACCTTCATGCATTCTATGCATGAAGGTAAAAAACCTTTGGTATGCAGCAGCCCATCTCAATACTTACCTGAGCCCCCTCTGGACCCAGCGATGTGCACAAGACCAGAGGCTCTCCTAGGACTCTCCCTCCTCATTGGCTGAGACACAGGAGGGGTAGCCATTGGCTTCTGCTACTGTCAATCACAGCCAGTGAGCCAATGAGGAGAAAGCGGGGGTGGGGCTGAGCCACGCTCTGTATGTGAATGAACATGCAGGGCACTTGGCAGGGGGCCAGGAGCTCCTGCTGGGGACCCCGAGAAGGGGAGGATTGGGGCTGCAGGTAAGTATTACATGTTTATTATTAAAATTAAAAAAATGTAATATTACTTTAAGTAGTTAGACCCTTTACTCAGTACTTTATTGGAGCACCTTTGGCAGCAATTACAGTCTCAAGTCTTTTTGGGTATCTTTTTGGCCATTTTAAGGTCTCTCCAGAGGTGTTTAATAGGGTTCAATTCAGGGCTCTGGCTGGGCTACTCTAGGACAGTCACAGAGTTGTCCCTAAGCCACTCTTGTGTTGTCTTGGCTGTGTGTGCTTAGGATCATTCGTTATATTGGAAGGTGAGCCTGGTCTGAGGTCCTGAGTACTGTGGAACAGGTTTTTCATTGAGGATACCTCTGTACTTTAATCAATTCAGCTTTCTCTCAACCCTGACCAGTCTCTGCTGATGAAAATACCCCCACAGCATGATGCTGCCGCCACCATGATTTACTGTTTGGATGGTCTTGGGGCAGGTGGTGAGCGGTGCCTGGTTTCCTCCAGACATAACGTTTAGAACCGAGGCCATACAGTTCAATCTTGGTTTCATCAGACCAGAGAATCTTGTTCCACACAGTCTGAGAGTCCTTCTGGTGCTTTTTTGCAAACTCCAATTGTGCTTTCATGTTTTTGCACTGAGGAGAGGCTTCTGTCTAGCCACTCTACCATAAAGCCCAGATCAGTGGAGGGCTGCAGTGATGGTTGTCCTGGAACTTTGCTAGAGTAACCATTGGGTTCTTGATCACCTCTGTTACTAAGGCCCCTCTCCCCCAAATGCTCAGTTTGGCCAGGCAACCAGCTCTTGGAAGAGTCCGGGTTGTGCCAAATGTTTTCCATTAGAGAATTATAGAGGCCACTCTGCTCCTGGGAACCTTCAGTGCAGCAGGAAAGTTTTTGTTGCTCTTATACAGTATGCATGGTCAGCTTTGAGGCCTTTAATAGAGAGGTGTGTGTGCCTTTCCAAATCATGTCCAATCAATTTAATTTACCACAGGTGGACTGCCAATGTGATATTTCAGTTTTTCCTTTTTCACACATTTCCAATATTCTGTTTTCCCTTTGTCATTACGGGTACTGAGTGTAGATTAATGAGAAAAAATAAATTTAAACAACTGCAGCATCAGGTTGCAACATAACAAAATTGAAAAAAAGTGAATGGGGTCTGAATACTTTATGAATGCACTATATATATATATATATATATATATATATATGTACACATACACACACAACAATCACACATACATACACACACATTATATTGCCAAAAGTATGGATTTGGAGTGAGTGTGGAGTTGCAAAATCATTGGATTCAGGTGTTCCAATCACCTCCATGGCCTCAGGTGTATAAAATCAAGCACCTAGGCATGCAGACTGCTTCTGCAAACATTTATGAAAGAATGGGTCGCTCTCAGGAGCTCAGTGAATTCAAGCGTGGTACCGTGAATCGTTGCCACCCATGCAATAAGTCCATCCGTGACATTTCCTAGCCACTAAATATTCCACGGTCAACTGTTAGTGGTATTATAACAAAGTGGAAGCAACTGGGAACAACAGCAACTCAGCCGCGAAGTGGTAGGTCGCATAAAATGACAGAGCAGGGTAAGCGCATGCTGAATGGCACAGTGTGCAGAAGTCGGCAACTGTCTGCAGAGTCAATAGCTAAAGACCTCCAAACTTCATGTGGTCTGCAGATTAGCACAACAACAGTGCATAGAGAGCTTCATGGAATGGGTTTCAATGGCTGACCAGCTGCATCCAAGCCTTACATCACCATGTGCAATGCAAAGTGTCAGATGCAGTGGTGTTAAGCACACCACCACTGGACTCTAGAGCAGTAGAGACATGTTCTCTAGAGTGACAAATCACGCTTCTCTGTCTGGCAATCCAATGGATGTGTCTGAGTTCGGCAGTTGCCTGTACTTGCATGACTGCATTTGCCAAGTAAAAGTTTGGTAGGGGGGGATTATGGTGTGAGGTCATATTTGCAGGAGTTGGGTTTGGCTCCTTAGTTCCAGTGAAGGGGACTCAAACCGTCAGCATACCAAGACATTTTGGACAATTTCATTCTCCCAACTTTGTGGGAACAGTTTGGGGATTGCCCCTTCCTTTTCCAACATGCACCAGTGCACAAAGCAAGGTCCATAAAGATATAGATGAGCAAGTTTGGGGTGGAGGAACTTTTACTGGCCTGCACAGAGTCCTGACCTCAGCCTGATAGACCACCTTTGAGATGAATTAAAGCAGAGACTGCGAGCCAGGCCTTCTTGTCCTACATCATTGCCTGACCTCAGAAATGTGCTTCTGGAAGAATGTTCAAACATTGCCATAGACACACTCCTAAACCTTGTGGACAGACTTCCCTGATGAGTTGAAGCTGTTATAACTGCAAAGGATGGGCCAACTCAATATTGAACCCTACAAACTAAGACTGGGTAGCCATTAAAGTTCATGTGTGTGTAAAGGCAGACGTCCCAACTTTTGGCAATATGGCAATAGTGTGTGTGTGTATGTGTGTATGTATGTGTATGTTTATACACACACACACACACACACACACACACACACACACACACCACAAACACACACACACACACACACACACACACGTTTTACCTTTCATTTTTCTTTGAAATTGAATGAGTTGTTTTACAATGTAAGGGTTCACATTTTAGTCTGATTCTTACCAGCTTTGTTTAACTCTGATCTCTCTCCCAGCAGTGACTTGCAACCTTCTAATGTAAACGCAGCACAGATACTCTTTTTTCACATTAGAAGGCTGGAAGGTTTGCAAGTCACTGTGAAATCAGAGTGAAATAAAGCCAACAAGTATTAGGATTATAACCAGGCCATAATTCTTTTATTATGAGGATTAATAGCTCCACAGTGCCTCCAGCTACAGAGGTCAGTGAAAGCTTGTTTTAAGGGTCATTTACTGCTTGTTAAGGATATTTAAATACTTGAATGTTCATAGCTTGGCCACAGGTTCATTTTAAAGTGCTAGTATACATAAACCTAAAGATTTCCTATTTTTGACAGGAAGACCCAAAGATCTGTAAGGGAGCATTTAGATTTAGAATGTCCCATACTATTTTAAGAAAATTAAGAAACTGGACCATGGGAAAAAAACATTTCCAGTTGCTTTTGTTTCCTTAAAATAAGGCAGATGAACTGTCTGATTATTATTACTACCTTTGTTTCTTCATTGCGTGAACAACAACCAAAGTGTCCCTGCTAAAGTAGAACTCAAGGCTAAACTTTTTTTTATTTTGGATAGAGTAAGGGAGGACCATTTCCCCTTTCAGTTTTTGCCATCCGTGTCCCATTAGGGAGACGTGCCTTCAATTCCTGTCCCACAGCCAAAACAGGAAGTGAGAGTAAATCCCTGCTAAGAACTAGTGTCACCATTGAAAGATTTCCCCTCTACTCCTGTTTTGTAGCAACTCAATATTTGTGATTTTTTTTTACTTTCACTCTCGGTGATAACAATCAACAGGACAAATCGGGAGCATGAATCTATGAATCTCCCTAACGGTGGGGGGGGGGGGGGGGGGGGGTGGAGCTTCCCTTCAAGATCCTGTAAACAATCCTTCCTTTCTATTTAAAAAAAAAAAAACCCAACAGCTATCCAGCCTGTCCTGGGAGTGGTACACCAGCTCATGCCGTACTCCCGTGCAACATATGACGGGGGGGCACATCCAAAAGAAAGTAACTACAAAAAACCCCCAAAGAAAAGAAGGATATAGCACCTCAAAGGCTAATGAAGAGGATGTGTTTATTGGGCGTAACCAATGAACATAACAGTGCACATCCCATACATTCCCTCCCCTCTACCACCTGCCCCCACCCAAAAACCAGCCCCCACTATAAAACCCTCCAAAAGGTATGACCCCACCCCAACCAATCCCCCCCACCACCCCCCCCCAGGACATCCCCAACCCCCAAAGCGGACCCCCCCTCCCCCTCAATCCTTTCTATAGCCTTCCAGAGCCACCATGACCAGAACAAAGAAGGATGAAGCAGCAGCTGCTGAGCTACAAAATGGCGCCCAACAGCCACTTCTACGAGCGTGCCTCATGAGCTGCGGACAAAGCCAAAGACAGTGTGTCCAAAGTGGGTAAGTCCTCCAGGAAGGTGGCTCTGAGGAATATGCTGTATTATGCTGACAAGCTGCCAGACTCCTCTGAGCAGACATAGCAGACCATCTCTGACTCTCTCTCAGATGTACAGGCAGCCACACTGCTGGACTCCCCCACCTTGAGCAAGCTGCGGCCCTGGATTTAGTGGAAAATATGTCCGAGGAGGACACAGCACAGCCAGAAGACTCTGAACAGCCTACTCTAGCTGCTATTCTTTGTGTTGTTTGCACTTGCACTGCCTCTGTGCAGGTTATACGTGACCAACTTGGGGGTCCGAAAGAGGAAGTCTCCTTTATCCTCCAGGATCTTCAAAAAATTTGTGAGAGAACAACGGCTGTGGAGAGTTAGATTAGCAATGTTGAGGATCAGCTACACCCCCTAACCCAGGACATGTAGTCAGCTATCTGGATGGCAAAAGCTAATTATCTGCACAATGAGGATCTTGAAAATCGGCTATACCGCAACAACGTCCAGGTTGTGGGGTCCCTTTGAAGTCTGAAGGCCAGGATCCCACAGATTTTGTGGAGAGATGGCTGCTTGAGATATTCGGTAGCTACTCCTTTACCTCTGCCTGCAGGCAGCTCACCTAGGCCTCTGTTGGCACGGCTTCTGAATTGGGATAGAGAAATTGTCCTATGTCTAGCCAGAAATCCGCCAAATATCCAATATGATGGAGTGAGAGTATCATTCTATCCTGACTACTCCACAGAGGTGCAGCAAAAGTGGGCACAATTCCAAGAGGTCAAGAAACACTTGCAACGGCTCCAAATCACCTGTGCTGTATTTTATCCTGCCTGCCTGCCTGCAATTTATGGCTGGTGATCGGGCCCATTTCTTTGGTACAGCCCAATATGCCACTGATTGGCTTGGTGACAATAAGGTCGACCTACATCTCAGACCTTGTCAAGTGCCTGAGGACTGAAGACCCAGTATCTTTGCTCTGCTTGACTTTTGTATTTCCAGGCTGTACTCTCTGAGGAGAACTCTATTGCTGGAACATTTATCATCCCTTTTGCAGGCTGTAGAAACTGGCTCCATAGTTGCATGGGTACAAGTGGACTCACAATGCAACATCTCTTCTCTCCAGCTTGGACTCCCCCCAGGAGATCTGCATGAGGGAATTTCACTGGCTGTTTTTCTTGTTCTTTGCCCCAGTGGACTGGCAGTCCTGGACCCTTTTAAGGTTACTCCCCTGTTGGGAACTTTTTCTTGCTGCACCATTATGCTTTGTTACACAGTTGTCCCAGAAGCTTGATAGTTTGATTTTCCTCAGCTGTGATACACCCATTGGAAGCCGATCACTGGGAGGTTCTCCGGTAACACTGGTATGGTGTCTATCCTGCTATTTCCTGTATGAACTCTTGAATGGTGGACATACCAGTAATCTTTTGGAATGTGAGGGCTTTGCACAACCCTTTGAAAAGAACTATGATTATGTCCACCTTCCGCAAGTACCGACCTACCATCTGTAGACTTCAAGAAACTCACCTCACTAAGGACACGCTGAGTACTTCGCGATATTCCTGGATGGGATCTGTGTACCACTCTACTCACCCCTCCTTGTCCGGGGGGGGGGGGGGGTGTGAGTGTTTTTGATTCACAGATCTATTGAGTTTTAAGAATATGCCTCAGTTATTGATTCAGTAGGTAGCTATGTTTTCTCTATATTGTCGTATTTTTATGCTTACCTGTGTGCTGGCTATGGTTTACATACCTCAACCCTTCTCTATGGTTATTCAGAGATGTCTTCTCTCCTTTCTGTTGGATAAGCCCTTTAATTCTCATGGTCGATTTCAATGGGTTTCTGTGTCCCCGGCTAGCCAAACATCCGGCTCCAACTGTGGGGCCACGTTACAGTGGTACCATCCTTTCAAAATTTTTGATGGAGGTTAGGTGGATGGACGTGTGGAGACAGACACCCACAGGAACATCAATATTCCTGCTTTTCTAAATTCTGCATGTCACTGTCTAGAATTGACTTATGTTTGATGAACTCACAGGGTAACAGCTTATTTACCAAAGTTTACTATGCTCCTAGAGGGGTCTCCGATCATTCCCTCTTGGTGGCCTGGATGACCATCAGATCCCATACTACGCTGTCCAAAGCTACCTGGAAAATAAACGCCTTCTGGCTCAATTTATTTACATCCCACAAGAACAGCTTTCAAATGCTTCTTATTATTATTTCAGAAATCACAGCGGTCAAAAATGCCACCAGGGAAAAAGAATCCCAATTGGCCCTTCAGGTACAACAACTGGAAAGGGCTTATATCTCTGACCCCACCAATAATACTAGGGGAGTCTGGCTGTCGGCTCATGCTGTGTATAACTGGGTCCTCACCTCCGCGATGAAACGCAAGCTCTTTTTTCAAAGCGTTCTACGAGGAAGGAGAGCAAACTGATTGCCTCCTGGCCAAAATTGCCTAGGCACAGACCTTATCCCAGACAATTGCAGCCCTTAAAACTGCCTCTAGAGTCCTGGTCAACTCTACAGAACAAATTATGGCTGAACTAGTCCAGTTCTATACAAATCTATATCAATCTACAGTATGCCCCTCTGAGGACTGTCTTAAACAGTACCTTAGTTCCATAGCCTTACCTACTTTCAAGCCCTCATAAAAATGTTTATTAGACTCTCCTATTACTTTAGAGAAGATGCAGGAGGCGACCAGCTACTTCCTCGCATATATGGCCCCGGAGCGGACAGTCTACCTCTAGAGGTTTACAAGAAATATGCTGATAGTATTCTCCCATACCTGCATAAAGTATTCAATATCTCCTTGGATGTGGGGAGTCTTCGTGTCTGTTACCCACATTTTCTCCTTTTGAAACCAGACAAGCCCCTCACAGACCTGGGCCCTTACAGACCTATATCGCTACTAAAAACACATGTCAAAATCTTGTCTAAGGTTTTAGCCAAGAGGTTGAAAAAGGTAATCTCTAGCATTGTCCATCCAGATCAATCAGGCTTTATGCCACAAAAATTGACATCTCTATAATAATATGCGGCTCTCAGTCGAATAACACTGGAGACAGCTCACTGTTGTCAACAAGGCATTCAACAGCATTGAATGGTTATATCTCTGGAAAACCCTTGATCAGTTTGGATTCGGGGACAAATTTATATCTGGGGTACGGTTACTGTATCATGCATCATAGGCTTCTATTACAGAGGGAGGGCATGTGTCAGAGGCCTTTCAACTGTCAGGCGTGCCCGTTATCACCACTCCTTTTTGCCCTCTCCATTGAACTGTTGGTAGCTCTCATTAGATTGACTGAAGGCAACATAGGCTTCTGCTATGGCCCCTCGATTGAGGAAAAAATAATGCTTTACGCAGATGACATGCTTCTTCTTTTGAGGGACACTGGGCCCTCCCTATGAAATTATACACTATATTGCCAAAAGTATTGGGATAGCTGCCTTTACACGTACATGACCTTTAATGGCATCCCGGTCATAGTCCGTAGGGTTCAATATTGAGTTGGCCCACCCATTGCAACTATAACAGCTTTATCACTTCTGGGAAGGCTGTCCACAAGGTTTAGGAGTGTGTCTATGGGAATGTTTGACCATTCTTCCAGAAGCGCATTTGTGAGGTCAGGCACTGATGTTGGATGAAAAGGCCTAGCTCGCAGTCTCTGCTCTAATTCACTCCAAAAATGTTCTCTTGGGTTGAGGTCAGGATTCCCACGAAGTTGGGAGCATGACATTGTCCAAAATGTCTTGGCATGCTGATGCCTTAAGTGTTCCCTTCACTGGAACTAAGGGGCCAAGCCCAACCCCTGAAAAACAACCGCACACCATAATCCCCATTCCACCAAACTTTACACTTGGCACAATACAGTCAGACAAGTACCATTCTCCTGGCAACTGTCAAACCCAGACACGTTGATTGGATTGCCAGACAGAGAAGCGTGATTCATCACTTCAGAGAACATGTCTTTACTGCTCTAGAGTCCAGTTGCGGTGTGCTTTACAGCACTGCATCTGACACTTCGCATTGTTCGGCCATGGAAACCCATTCCATGAAGTTCTCTACACACTATTGTGCTAATCTGAAGGCCACATGAAGTTTGGAGGTCTTTGGCTATTGATTTAGCATGCGCTGACCCCGCTCTGTCATTTTATATGGCCTACCACTTCATGGCTGACTTGCTGTTGTTCGTAGTTGCTTTCACTTTGTTATAATACCACTAACAGTTGAGCATGGAATATTTTGTAGCAAGGAAATTTCACAGATGGACTTACTGCACAGGTGGCAACCTATCACGGTACCACGCTTGAATTCAAAGAGCTCCTGAGTCCATTCTTTCACCAATGTTTGTAGAAGCAGTCTGCATGCCTAGGTGCTTGATGTTATACACCTGTGGCCGTGGAGGTGATTTGAACACCTGAATCCAATGATTTGGAAGGGTGTCCCAATACCTTTGGCAGTATAGTGTATGTCTATTGATTCTAGCTTTGGCACTTACTCAGGACTTACTATCAATTGGTCTAAACCTACCGTGCTACCTTTGGACAGCCCTGTTGAACCCACACTCTCCTCTTTTTGTCCTATACAAATTACCTCCACGTTTAAGGGGTATGCATTGCACAGTCTCTGATTATTGCTAGGTTAATGTTTTCCCCCTACTACTCCTGTTTAGAGTGAAGGTCAAAATATGGGGGAATCTATGGCTCTCCCTCATTGGTATGGCCAATCTCATAAAAATGATTCTCATGCCTCAGCTGTTGTACTTACTTCACAACACCCCTATGGTAGTGCCCCTTTGCATTTTTCACACAGTAAACTATTTATCAGTCTTTACTTTGGAGGGACAGATTGCCCAGACTCAGATAAGAGCAAAAACAGAGGCCCAAAGATAATAGAGGCATTGCATTACCTAACCCCTGGCTCTATTACCTGGCTGCTCAACTACAGCACCTTCACACTGGCCTCCAGACAGGTTTCTCAGATCCTTCTTTGTGTAATGGCTCTATGGCTATAATGTTGTTTTTCCCCAAGGCTCAGGACTTGCCAAGTGGGCTGGAATCACTTAATTTCTGTAAATATAATAAGCTTTTCCCTACTTACGTCCTATTGCAAAAAATCTGGACCAAATTTAAACAATTAGACAAGGTCTAGGGGTTTACCAGTTATAACCCAATTTGGCATAATGAGGCCATACCTGAAATGGCTAAATTTCAACATGCTCCTAGATGGCTGGCGCAGGGCCTCACGCACCTTCATCAAAACTTTCAGGATGGTGTCTAGCTATCTTTTCAAGAGCTACAGACTAGGTTTCGCCTCCCGAATCCTATGCTTTTTTTACTAGATTGTGAAGAAGACCCATTGTACAGATTTTTTCCTAAAAGGGCTGTTATTGATGCCTGTACCCTCCTTGGAAGAGATTGTTCCCAATGAAACAAAGGGAAATAAGTGTAATACAAAAAAGTGTAATCAATAAAAACACATGCCAGATTCCAACCTTTTTCACAGTCTATATAAAAGGTTAGTTCACATTTACAGAAAAAATGTAAAGGTGAATACTGTATACCCTCCCTGTCCCTGCTGTACTTACCTCTGGTCATCCTGAGCTGTCAGGGCTCCCTCAGCCAGTCCAGTGGTCCAGGGATTTGAAATCCCTGTTCTTCTCCCTGTGCAGCACTTTTGAGATGGACCAGATCGATTCACTTTGACAGCGCTGACCAGATAAGAATCAATTTGGTTCCTCCCAGAAGCTCTGCACAGAGAACAGGGAGAAGAGTGGGGATTTAAAATTGCTAGACCAGCTGTCAAAAGGTGTAACAACTCAGCATCACTGAAGGTAAGTGCAATGGGGACCAGGTGGGTATGGAGGGTTTGCGGTGTTAGTTCACATTTACATTTTTTATGTAAAGGTGTACTAACACTTTGATCCCAATTACATCAATGTTTCGCATAGAATTCTACTGTATTATTTGCTTTTACAATAGATGGAAAGTAAACATACAAGTTGCAATTTCTAAATTGTACAAAAAAAATTTCTAAAATAAATGTATGGAGTAGAGGCCTCTGAAAATACAAATATGAGAGCTGCCACTGTTGACTTGGCTCTGGGAACATTACTCCAGGATCCAGGTCAATAACAGTAAACCTGTGTGTCCCCCCAACTCCCTTCCCGACTGGAACCTTAAAAATCATAGCCAGCAACCCCTTTAAATGTAATGATATAGTCAGTTTCGACAAATAGGACTGGATGTTAAATATGGCTGCTGTTCTCATCTTGGAGAAAGTTAATACATCTGAAAGGTTTACAAATACTTGCGCAGACAACAAACTGAAATCATCAATCATGACAGCTATGTCTGCTGTGCTTGTTCCACATAATAATCAATACCATTTTATTCTTTCAGAGACAAATATAATGGGCTATAAATGGAATATAAAGGAGACATTGCAGTTGGCATGCTTACAGAGTATTATAAAAATCATTCACCATTTTCCAATTAAAAGTATTTCCAAGATGGAATGAACGTTTATCGATTTGTTTTTTTTATGTAATTACATATATATATATATATATATTTTATATTTATTTCAGGTACTTATATAGTGCCATCAATTTACTCAGCGCTTTACATATATTATTATTATTATACAGTATTTATATAGCGCCAAAACGTTTGCTCAGCACTGTACATTATAGTGGGGGACAGTACATGAGACAATACAGTAACAATACAATACACGAGGGGTTCGAGGGCCCTGCTCTTTTGAGTTTACAATCTAGGAGGGAGGGGATAGTGGCACAGGAGGCAGTGGCTGTGGGGGACGGAGTGGTAGGAGGAGTGGAGATCGGCTGTTAGGTGAGGGTGGGGTAGGCTTCCCTGAAGAGATGGGTTTTCAGGGTGCGCCTAAAGGTGAGGAGGGTAGGTGACAATCTGATGGATTGGGGTAGTGAGTTCCAGAGGATGGGGGAAGTCCTGGAGAAGTCCTGTAGTCGGGCATGGGAGGAGGAGATCAGGGAGCTAGAAAGTAGGAGGTCTTGTGAGGGCGTAGGAGAAAGTAGGAGGTCCTTCAATATATATATATATATATATATATATATATATATATATATATATATATGGAAGTATTTGATCCCCTGCTGATTTTGAATGTTTGCCTCCTCACAAAGAAATGATCAGTCTAAAAATCGAATGGTAGGTGTATTGTAACACTGAGAGACAGAATAGCAACAAAAAAAATCAAAAGAAATGCATGTCTAACACATTATGCACAGATTTGCATGTTCATGAGGGAAATAAGTATTTAATCCCCTATCATTCAGCAGAATTTCTGGCTACCAGGTGTCTTTCATACAGGTAACAAGCTGAGATTAGAAGAAGTCTCTTAAAGGGAGTGCTGCTAATCTAATTTTGTTACCTGTATAAAAAACACCTGTCCACATGAGCAGTCAAACAATCAGATTCCAAACTCTCCACCATGGCAAAGACCGAAGAGCTGTCCAAGGATGTCAGGGACAAGATCGTAGACCTACACAAGGCTGGACTGGGCTACAAAACTATCGCCAAGCAGCTTGGTGAGAACCTTCTGCAGCTGGTGCAATGATTCGCAAATGGAAGAAACACAAAACAACTGTCAGTCTCACTAGGTCTGGTGCACCATGCAAGATCTCATCTCGTGGAGTGTCAATGATCATGAGAACAGTGAGGAATCATCCTAGAACTACACGTGAGGATCTTGTCAATGATCTCCAGGCAGCTGGGACCACAATCACCAAGAAAATAATTGGTAACACACTACACTGACAAGGATTGAAATCATGCAGTCCCTGCAAGGTCCCTCTGCTCAAGAAAGCACATGTCCAGGCCCACCTGAAGTTTGCCACTGAACATCTGAATGATGCAGAGGAGGACTGGTAGAAAGTGTTGTGGTCAGATGAGACCAAAATCGAGCTCTTTGGCATCAACTCACCATGTTTGGAGGAGGAGGAATGCTGCCTATGACCCCAAGAACACCATCCCAACTGTCAAACATGATGGTGGAAACATTCTGCTTTGGGGGTGTTTTTCTGCTAAGGGGACAGGACAACTGCACTGCATCAAAGGGACGATGGATGGGGCAATGTACCATCAAATCTTGGGTGACAGCCTTCTTTACTCTGCCAGGGCATTAAAAATGGGTCGTGGATGGGTGTTCCAGCATGACAATGACCCAAAACACATGGCCAAGGCAACAAAGGGACTGACACGAATGTACCATATATATATATATGTAAAAGCACTGCATAAATTGATGGCGCTATATAAGTACCTGTGAATAAAAATAAATTATGGTTTTTTTTTTGGCTTTTCTGTATATAAATCCCATTTCCTTTAGGCGATGTCTTACAGTTCAGTCACAGACATTGACTCCAGTTTCTGCCCATTTATTCATCGTGTGTTTTGTTGTGCATTTTCTGTTTTCAAGGCATATTGCTTATAGTTTTCTATCTTGAAGCTTTGATGTCTTCCTTGGTCTACAAGTATGCTTCTTGCCTTTTACAACCTTCCCATTTGATTTGTACTTGGTCCAGATTTTAGACACAGCTGATTGGGAACAACCAGCATCTTTTGCACCATTCCGTGATGATTTACCTTCTTATAGAAGTTTTATAATCCTCTCCTTTGTTTAACTGACATCTCTGGTGTTGGAGCCATGATTTATGTCAATCAGCTTGACAGCAGCGGAATCATGTCTGTGGTGATTCCATACTTTTTGCCAGGGGTTGTAATTAAAAAGTGTATATAAAATGCCACAGTTCATCTGTTGGCAAATAGTGCATACACCAAAAGTTGACTGTAATACCATTGACAGAAGCCTCTTACCAGATATGATGGACCATAAAATTATAAATGGTCAAACTTGCTTTGGTTGCATATTCCTATATAATGTATAATGCCTAACTGTGCATTAGACACTTTCTATTCAATGTATACTACCCCTTTACCATGTAACCTACAGTTACTGTTCATTGACCTTTTATTATGCTTTCCAATGCATGTAATGTGCAGTTTAAATTCTCTACACATTGAAGTAGTTCTAAACGCTCCAGCTTTTAAACTTTCTGTGTGTATCAGCCCCCCAGCCACTTACCTGAGCCCCATCCTGATCCAGTGTGCAACGCTGCTGTGTATTTCTACTGCAGAATGATTAGTGTTGTCACCCTAAAACAGGAAGAAAAGAGGGAGAAAAAAATACCAGCTCTACTAGCAGAAACACCAGGTAATAAATTGTCAGAGGGGGACTTAGAAAGACAAAAACAATTGTGTAAAAGTACACGTTTAGTAATAAAGAAAAAAAAACAAAACAAAAAAACAACAAAAAAAAAAACAG